TTTTATTTCCTTATTTTGTTTCCCTTTTATTTTAGGATTTGTTTTCTATAAATAGGGCTTGTAAACCTCGTTTTTGGGGGTTAGACATTATTTTTCTATTCTAGTTCTTGACTTGGGATATTAACTTGCAACTTTAGCAATTCTTAATTTCCTAAGTTCGTTTTGATGATTTTTGTGTTGCAATTCAAGTTGAATTTCTGGGTTTATTATTTTTCTTACGTAAGTTCATAATTCTTTCATATAAAATATTGAATTGTGTTCATATGATTATGGGTAACTAAACTCCACAACTAGGGTTGTGGGAACCATGATCGATTAACAAAGTATGAATAGTAAATAAGTAATTCTTGAATAGTGTTTTGCATGCATTGATAATTCTTTTGTTTAAAAGTCTTTTTAACGGTTCGCAACTTTAGAACTTGCCTTATTGCTAGTTGTCGGACCAAGGAGGTAATCAACAAGAAAAGAATTATCAACATAGATTTAGTGTGATACTATCTAATAGTCTAGTGTCGATTCGTGCGAAGTAATAACTAAGCCAAACATCGATGTGATGTCTAATTTGAGGTAAAGGTAAGGATTAGTAAATTATACACACGTAACCGGACCAAGGTGCGGGGTGAAATTCTCTAGATGTCGGACCAAGGATTTAGAGGTACCTAGCTTATCACTTTGCATGTAGTACACTAGGAAAGGATTGCTATTACTAGGATTACTGTGTTATAAGCTTGTGGGGAACACGTATACCCTAGTTAATTCTCTCATATTGATAACAACCAAAATTGACTTTTGTTTACTAGGAAAGGATTTAGAGATATTGAAATTCTAGATGTCGGACCAAGGATTTAGAGATACCTAGCTTATCACTTTGCATGTAGTACACTAGGAAAGGATTGCTATTACTAGGATTACTGTGTTATAAGCTTGTGGGGAACACGTATACCCTAGTTAATTCTCTCATATTGATAACAACCAAAATTGACTTTTGTTTACTGATTACTTACTGACTTCTTACAATTTGTTTCACAAATCCCCCCCCCCCTCTTGATTACTTGTTTCTGGAAGTAATTTGACTAAACGAATATAATTGTTGGTTAAAGTGAAGTCTAAACCATTTTCCTCGTGGGATCGCAACCTACAAGTTGGGTTCTTTACTTGATAACGATCGCTTATGCTTCTTTAGGGAGGTGTAATTTGAGCGTATCAGCTAGTCTTAAATTTCCTAATA